GTGTGCATGCACATGTGTGCACACACACAAGCACACACATATAGGACCAGAGCTTTACCCCCTGATACCTTACTGGCCTGTCAATTCTTTATGGGACTTAGTTGTATAAGGAAAAGTAAACCAACCCAATGTGTCCATAATATGTTCACTATTTTACATTTGGTGTAGACTTCAGTAGTATATCAATTTAATAACTTTAACTCAGATAGTATGTAGTCTTTAACAGCTAATTTTAGTTATGAAAAAAACCCTAATTTTTAATGTTGTGTCAAATATTCAAATACTGGAGTTCACATTCCTTTGTTTCAGGAGAAATATCTCTCCAAATGGGTGTAGAGCAAGCACTAGAAACAATATGTGTGTTTAGAGAGGATCTTAACCATATAATTTCATAAATGGTTTAAAAACACTAGATATTCCAGTGTGAACATGATTTAAGTGTTTCGCTCCCCTTGCACACACATACTGTACATACTTCTGAACTCTATGCTGCTAAAGTGACTGCTGTATGTATTTCCTCAGTGAACCTGAAGGACTGCCTTAAATCGGCAAATGTAATTCATCTGAGTGATCCTGATTTCCAAGTCTTAGAAGATGGCTCTGTGTACACAACTAATTCTGTTGTCTTGTCCTCGGGCCAAAGAAGCTTTACTATATGGCTTTTCAACGCGGAGAGCCAAGAAGAAAGAGAGCTGTCTGTCCATTTAGAAGTTCCAGCAGAAGTAAATGAGAAGGTATGCGGGAAGCGTAATGGCGTTGCCTCCTTAGGGTCAACTGACACCACCAAGGAGGATGTGGAACCAGAGAAGACTCGGGGTGGCGAATGAAAGCTGTTGGTCAACAGTGTTTGGTGAAGGAGGGTTGGCTGTGCAACACGTCATTACAATTCGTCATCCCTCTCATTTGCGATAAGCTGCACCGAGAACTTGAGATAGGACCCCAAGTGACACTTTTTGATTTTTGGAATGGATTTCCAAAAACAAATTTGGAAACTACCCCCTCTTGATTAAGATTTTCTCTCCTCATGCGTACTAGTGTTAAAAGGGTTTCTGGTTCTTGTCTTCTTGAAGACAAGACTTCATGCAAAAGACATAGAGAGTTTGAGCAGATGTTTATTTAGCCAACCCACGGCAAGCAAACAAACACTACAGAGAGAGATTGGGTGGCGCAAGGCAGTCATCAGCCCTGCGAATCCTGTGTTGTGGCTCTTAAAGAAGTTTTATGAATATTCATGAGACGGGAGGCATATTCTGGGGGAAAGATGATCCTTTTATGGTGTTAAGTTATGATGAACCACATGTATTTTTAGGGGTTTTCTTTCCTGTCATCCTCTAGAAAAGCCCACAAAAGGAGTGTGTGTATGGATGGGTCAAGCACTTGCTACAATGCAAGTGATGTGGTGATGCCAGGCCTTGGAGGATGCAGCCCCTTTGCTAGGGCGCACATGTGGCAGAATACCCTTGTGCTTTAGTTTCTAACGTAGCAGAAACAATCCAACTGCGGCTTCAGGGTGTTGAACCTCAGTGGGCTTCCGACTATCAGGAGGCTCAGCCTCTGGGACTCAGCTACAGCTTTCATCCTTTGCCTCTTTAACATCTTGCCTACCCTGTGTCATTAGCGTGGTTTGTAGTCTTAGATGTCAGGTAACAAGGGAGAAGGTTGGGACCACGTACGTGCCTATCGATTTTGACACCAAAGGTCCAAACAACCTCTCCCCAGTAGTCCCTGGTCATTCTTCACTGGCGCAGTCGGAGTGCTGTCACGATATCTCTCTCTTCGTCTGACAGGTGACTGTTGGTCCCCTGGCTCTGGCTAGTTGCTGGTGAGTGGAATCTGCTTATGCTAACTGTGGGAGTCAAGCCATCCCAGTCATTCTCATCCCATCTCCTTCCTCTTGTGACCTTGCATGGCAATGTGGCAGCAAGAATTTGCTTTTCATTGTTGCATCTATTCTTCCAGCCCATCTCTCTTTCTTCCATATTTCCACCAAGGTATTTTCTCCAGAGAATGGTTGGCATAACAACAACCACAGTTTTATTCTTTGTCATTTTTGTTATTGTTTCTGCAGTATTGAAGATTAGTTTGGTTTTGAAGCACCGTCATGGGTTTACACTTCCCTAGCCAATCTTTGTAAGAGGAGACCAATGTATCAGCTCTAATGTCTGGGGATGGAGTCGTCATTGACTTTAACAATGAAGGTTTATCTTTCTTGTCTTCTAAATCAAGGTACTAAATAAAAGACTGCACGCAGAGAAAGTTCTCAGCCGTACCAAGAGAAGATGGGCGCCTATCCCTTGTTCCATGCTAGAGAACTCCTTGGGTCCTTTCCCACTTTTCCTCCAACAGGTATAGTTTATTTCCATTTTCAAAAAGTAATTAATATTGATTTAAAAAATAATTGCATGAGGGCTGGAAATGTATCTCAGAATGCTTGCCTGCCATGTTCAAGGCCTTGGTTGAATCTTTACTAATTAAAAATATGTAAAATAGTTGCGTGTGAATATCTGAATGGAAGATTTAAGTATCATGTTTCAACATATATGTGTAAGTATTTCTTAACAGTTGTGTACACATTTTTCAGCTTTAGTCATGAAAAAACAATCTATAAGAACTGTAAAGCTCATCCAGCATTCTAAAGCATGTTTCTTTAATTTTTTTTCCCAGTCAACAAGGGTATCACAGAGGCTGGGCACAGCTTATAAAATCCAAAAATGAATGCCTCAATAAAGATTAGAATTGCAGAGCTGAAAGAGAAAGACACAGGCTTTCTAGTCATTATGCCCAAGTCTGTTTCTTCCCTTCCTCCTAGTGTTCTAAGTTAAGTTGTAAATTAGTGCACACAATAGTGGGTTCACTATTACATCTTCGCTTATTTCTATCGTTACACTTTGCTCATATTCATTCCTCTACTATCCTGCTGCTCCATTTCCATCTTCCCTACCAGTTTCCATCTACCAAGTCAATTTCTTTTTAAAAAAATGACTTGTTTTATGTGTCTGTGTGTGTATCCACATGAATTTATGTGCATCACGTGCATATAGTCCTGTGGGGGGCCAGAAAAAGGAAATCAGATCCCCTGAAACTCAAGTTATGGATGCTTGTAGGAGCTGGGAACCAAACTTAGGTCTTCTGCAGGAGCAGGGAGCTTCTCCCACCTCCAATCTGAGGCAAGATTTCATCATGTAGCTCAGTTGGTATTCATTTTGTTCACTGTTAAGCTTCACAAAGATAGATCCTTTCAAGCATATCATGTATTTTTACCATAGTCACTCCTATCCACTCACTTCTCTCTGTTGCCACACCCCCATCCCTTTCCTTCAGTCCCCCTTCTGCTTTCATGTCATATATAAATTGTTACACACACACACACACACACACACACACACACACACACACATACACACATATATATATATATGTATATATGTATACATATATATGGGGGTTAGGGTGTATATATACACACACATATACATAAACACACATAAATATTTATATATATACATATATATACATACACACACACACACACACACACACACACACACACACACACATATAGTCCAGATTCATAAATGAGAGAAAACGTGATGTTTGTCTTTTAGAATTTGCCTTACCCACTTGGACAGGTCTTGTTCTGTAGCCTCGGGCTGGCCTTATCTCCTAGTTCCCCTGTCTCTACTTTCTCCGTGCTGGGACTACAGGCATATGCCACCATACCTGGTGAAAACCACTTTCTAAAATGCTTTGCCAAGTGCAGTTTCATCTCAGGACTTAAACAGACTGGTGAGAGATAATCATTCACTCTCGTATTGTTATATTTTCTAACACAGAGAAGTCCCAAGTGTTTGGTTCATGTATATAATGTTCAGTCTTCGAAATATTCCTTGATTTGGAAATTAAGATTCTGCTGTGGGATTTTGCAAATATCTTGTTTTGAATCATAATTCTTTATTCTATTGCTGCATTTTTCTAATACTGAACAAGACAGGGGACTGTTGTTTATTCTAGTAACTGGCAGTGTAATAGCATAAACATACCCCTGAAAATTCTGCTGAAATAAAAATATGTCTCATGCTTATAATATCTACTCTCTAGATCCAATCTGATACAGCTCAAAACTACACCATATACTATTCCATCAGAGGTCCAGGAGTTGATAGAGATCCTTTGAACTTATTTTATGTGGAAAGAGATACTGGAAACCTGTATTGCACTGGTCCTGTAGATCGTGAGCAGTATGAATCCTTTCAGGTAAGGTCTAAAGATCATGTGTTATATTAGCAGTTGTCTTGGTTTTGGTTTCTATTGCTGTGATGAAACACAGTTTCCAAACAAGCTGGGGAGGAAAGGGTTCATTTGGCTTATGCTTCCACACTGTAGTCCATCACTGAAGGAAGTCAGTACAGGAACTCAAACAGGGCAAAAATCTGGAGGCAAGAGATGATGCAGAGGGTGTGGAGGAGAGATGCTTGCTCATCATGGCTTGCTCAGCTTGCTTTCTTATAGAACCCAGGACACCATCCCACCAGGATTGTTCCACCTACAATGGGCTGGGCCCTCCCCCATCAATCACTAATTAAGAAAATGTCCTACAGGCTTGCCCACAGCACAATCTTATAGAGGCGTTTTCTCAACTGGTGGTCTCTCCTTTCAGAGGCCTCTAGCCTGTGTTAAGCTGACATAAAATTAGCCAGCACAGCAGTTATTAACCTCAGCCACTGTGTCTTTCAATCTCAATTTACCTACTTCTCTTTTTTCCCTGAGGTTTTCATTGGCGTTCTGGCTACAATCGATAGCAGAATTGGCTTGAAACAAACAAATTAAATGGAATAAATAAAAATTCATTTCTGTTAGGTTATTTCTGGTTTTATGGGGTTTCTTTTCCTGTTTTAATTTTCCAAGGGAGCAAACACTTTGGCAGCCCATTTGTTTGTTGGAGACGCTCTCTGTGGAGTGGGTCTGTCTGCCACAGGAGCTAGGGAGGCTCAGCAGTTAGCTGAACCTCAGCCCTTTGCAGTGGGAGAGTTGATCACAGCGAGACCAGGAGGGTGGGCAGCCCTTAACAAAGCTCATTCAGTCTTTCAGATGTTTCATGGGATTTCCCCTGTGGGAATATGCTGGCTTGACTTCCCAGCAGAACCTGCTTATCTCACTTATTTTTCATTATTTTACGCAGTTTTGGATGAGTTCATTCTTTATTCACGAGGAAACCAAACTAACCGTATAGACATGCAAGCTGTGAGTTCTGTGTTTAAGTTTAGGGTTGTTGCAGTGTGGTTTTCTAAGTATCTGTAATGTTCTGCTGTTTCTATGATAGTTGTTATAAAACTGGTTTGGTCTGGAATGTGCAGCATAAAATTAAAAGGAATAAAATTTAAGGGAGGGTGGCACTCCAGAGTCCATACAGGACACACCCATACACCATATTCTCAGCACAAAGGAGATTTATTACCCCGGAGGGGCAAGCATGGGGGTTGGGAGCAGCTGCCTCTGGGTGGGGCAGAAGCAGACAGTAAGCAGCAGCAGCAGCAGCAGCAGCAGCAGCAGCAGCAGCAGCAGAAGCAGACAGCAAGCGTGTCTTTTTGTTGTTGTTGTTTTTCAGGAGTGAGTTTTTAAGGAAAAGAAAGGGAGCCTGTGCTAGGGTGATCTGTTAAATCCTGATTGGACATATTAGCCAAATCGTGCAATATGATTGTTGGACCCTGGTGTTCTGTCTCAGGAATGAGTCAGTGATCAAATAAGGGAATGGACTTTGGGACTAGCTTTGGGGACGTAACCTAACGGTTTTTAGCAAAGGAGAGGGAAAGGACGAGACCTGTCGGTACCGTGTTTACCATGTTCAGATCTGTGCTTGCTCTGCTCCGGCCTGCTAGAGCCCTGCATAAATTATATTCCACACAAAATCTGTAGCCACTCATTTGTTTGCTTTCTAACTCCTGCTTTTCAAATAAAGACATCCTTAGGAAATGTTCTATGTTAATATAACCATGGTGGTACCTAAAATACTAACAGAAAATAAAATAATACCTGACTTAATTGCGCCCAGAATTTGTAGTGTAAATTAAGAAATATCCAAAAGATGTACTTAAAATCTATGTGTCTAAAACTGTCAGAAAGAAAAAAAATATTTTTAGTAAATAATAATAATAATAATAATAAATATTATACTTATGGATGACATACAGCAATAGTGAGGAAGTTAAAATTATTCACATTAGTATAGTAGATCACTATAAACATATTCTGCTTCCACAGGAAGTCTGGTGTCTCTTTCCACATCACAGCCATGTCTGCATCCTGAAGCAATAGCAGTGGAAGGCAAGCGCTTCAAGCCTGAGTAGTCTCCCAATGAGAGCCAAAGCCATCTGGAGCCATGCTTTATTTTCAAGTGTCACTTGAGGGGTTGCTGAGGGTCTAGTTCAATGGAGAGAGCATGCTGGACCTGTGTGAGGCCCTAAAACCCATTCCCAGCACCACAAAAGCAAAACTTGGTTATTTTCTGTAGATGGATTTTTCTTTGGATTGACAGCTCACAAAAAAAAAACAAAAAACGACATGGAGACTTACTATTAATTATGAAAGCTTGGCCTTAGCTTAGGTTTGTTTCTAACTAGCGCTTATAACTTAAATTATTCATCTACATTCTGCCATAAGACTAGTGGCTTTTACCTCTCACCCTGCTTCCTCTGCATCTGGCTGACAACCACCCTTTTTTCTTCCCTAAGACCTCTCTGTCTCCAGAAGTCCCACCTAACTAACTTCTTCCAGCCTAGCTACTGGCCATTCAGCTCCTTATTAAACCAGTCAGAAGGCATCTTGACAAAGATACTTCTTCACAGTGTACAATAAAGATTATTCTACAACAATTTTCACTTTTTTCCTAATTTTACTCTATTCACAGCTGACCGCCTTTGCAACAACTCCAGATGGGTATACGCCAGAGTACCCACTGACTCTCCTCATTAAAATAGAGGATGAGAATGATAACCACCCAATTTTTACAAAGACAGTATACAGTTTCACAGTTTTGGAAAACAGTGCTGTTGGTAAGTAGCTACACCAATGATACAGGGCAGCTTGGACGGGCTTTGGTTCATAAACTGAGCCTCTCTGTGGCCACAGGAAAGCAGCCCACTGTGGTGCCATGAAAATGGGTCCTGGGAGGCATTTTCTTCTGTCCTTTCCTTGTGTAAAAAGCTGCAATTTCTTATCCAGTAAATGGGTTACCTGTAGACTAGATTATCAAACAGACTACATGCATCCTGGTGCCTCAAGAAAGAAATTACTTTACATTTCTATGAGAGGCAAATGACATACTTCTAAAGGGAAGAGTCTATCTATAAGTGAAGTCATTCAGCACTTGGAGACTTGTCTGCTGAACTCCTAATGACAAAATGGGTGGTAGTATTCTGGGCATGATCAAAAGTCACCAAGAACAATACACAGATTTTCTCAGTCTTGTTATCTTCAGACTCAAATTGGTTGGATGTCAGACTGCAATTTTGGGGGCTTCCCTTGGGAAGACCTGGCTGAACCAATAGAAATTTTAGAGAGAACTGCCTCAAATGGTTAAGCACGGGCCTGCAAATAGAAAAAGAGCTTAAGAATAACTAGGAAATCTCGGTAGAAGTTCAGAGTTCACAGAGGGACAGCATAATCGTTTATAGGAGCCCACACGAAAATACAGTAAAAATAGGTGCTGGGGTCACAAGATCCCCAAAATATTAGAATGTGAGCCTATTTAAAAGGAAGTGTTATTTTATGTCGGTATCAATTAACTTATAAAAACCATGATGCTGATCTGTGATAAAGTGCTCCGGCAGGCTTCTGAAGTAGGCAGAAAAGAGCGCAATACGAGACATAGAGCGCATGTTTGGAAGTTCACCGGCAGCTTTTCCTCCACAGGCTCTGTCGTGGGGGAGGTCTGTGCCACCGACAACGATGAGCCAGGAACGTTGCACACTGAGCTGAGGTACTCCATCCTGGAGCAGTCACCCTCCCCACCCACTCTGTTTACTATGCATCCCACCACTGGCGTGATCACGACCACATCGTCTCAGCTGGACAGAGAGGTAACAAATGTCAGCCGAAAGAGCTAGATCAGAGCGTGGCTTTTAAGAGCACGCGGTCTCAGTTGGACAGAGTGGTGACAAGTGTTAGCGGATAAAAATGTGGCGATTTAAGAATACAGATACACTGTCTCTAATCCGAAGTATCTCAAGGCAGAAAAGCTCTGAAATATGAACGTTTTTGATCACTGATTTGATGTCACAGATAGACAATTCAACACCTAACATCATGGACAGGTTGCAGCCAAAACATAGACCTGCTAAGAACATGGTATAAGATTAGCTTTGAGCTTTGTGTGTCAGGCATGAGTGGAACACACAACAGTTTTGTGTCTAAATGTGGACCTGACACTGAGATATCCTGTGATGTTGATTCTAAAATCTATAAACATCTGAAACACTTCTGGTCTCCAGACCCCTTAGACGAGGGATGCTTATGCCTGCCTATCTGAGCATCACCTGTGTGAGCATTTCGGGAAAGGAAGATTAGTTTCCAACTTTAGGAAATGTATTGTTTAAATGATGCAGATGAAGGCCACTAAGTAGTTACTTAATGGCATGCTAATTTAGGACATCGAGGTTATTCTCTCCTGACTTTTATCTTTTATGAAATCAAATTTTTCATGGAAGTATACTTGTAGTATTAAACAAGGAAGTGTCAAATAAAAAGAGTGAACCTTCTCAAGATGGGCAGAAATGTGTCATCTGTTGAGAATTATTTTAACGTGTGTCTCTGCAGAAGTCTTGTTTCTATTCTTCCCCTTACATAGAGAGAAATACCTTCACACATGTACCCCTCGCTTCCCATCTCAGCTAACTGATTAAATACTTACCTGCCTGGACTTCTGAAAAGCACCTCAGATGCAGTGTTTATAAAATTTTACTTGTCAACAAGCTCTCTTTCCCATTCCTCTATTGATGATTTTTCTAGTATCACCTTGGAGTCATGATCTCAAACTGTGTTAGATGTCTCCTCTCATCTTCTACTTAAAACTTTTGTAAGCATGTTGACATTCCCTGTGGGAATATTTTACATATATTCTGTACTTGTGACTACCCTATTAGCCATTTACTTAGTTCCTTATCCAATTATTACATTCCCCCAGCAAGTACTATTCACCTGAATTCTTACAGCGTTTTGCCAGGCTGATTTATTGTCTATCATCTTTAATCTTGTAGTAGTACTTGACTATTGGGTGTTACTTTGAATCTCAAAATTTCCAACAGGGGCTGGAGAGATGGCTCATTAGTTAGATCTTGCAGCACTTTGAGGAACCTGGGTTCAGTTTCCAGCACCACACTGGGGAGCTCACAACTGCTTATAACTCCAGTTCCAGGGCACCTGACACCTCCTGACCGCATGACCTCTGTGACATGTGCAACACATACATATACTCAGGCACATGGCATACATGCATACAACTAAAATAAATAAGACAAAAATCTTTTTTTAAAAAACCTTCCTATTAGCTACATTTTCTGACTTTTTGTTTTGTTTTGTTTTTCGAGACAGGGTTTCTCTGTGTAGCTTTGCGCTTTTCCTGGAACTCACTCTGTAGACCAGACTGGCCTCAGACTCACAGAGATTCGCCTGGCTCTGCCTCCCGAGTGCTGTGATTAAAGGCGTGCTCCACCACCACCACCCAGCTACATTTCCTGACTTAATGCAAATTTCCAAATATTGACGAATGATTAAACAATATCAAGGCATCATGCTTTCACTTCCCTTTATACCTTAATGGTTGATACAAGTTATACAAAGGTATTGTTGACAACAAATAAATAGTTGCTTTTATTGATGTGATTTAACAAAATGTTTTCTAAATGCTTTCCTCTGGACAACTACAGGCGTTTTTTCATGTATAAATACTGTCTTCAGAATAGAAACAACAAACAAACAATGAAAAAGTCTAAATGGCTTCTTAAGTTTCCAAACCAAAGCCTTTAAATGAACTTTTACAGGACTGCAAGATGGTTCTGCTGTTAAGGGTGCATACTTGTGCCTGTTGTGTGGGGAACCTTAACCTGTATCAATTGCTTGTGCCACTAGCCCCAGGGGATCGATACTCTCATTGGGACTCTCTGATCACACCCCCCTCCCCCCACACACACATATACACACAGTGACAAATATTGAAAATAAGTCCCAAAAGTAAATGAATGCTGATGACAGAAACGGTTACACACCTTGGACGCATGAAGTTTACTAAATAGTGCTTAGCAGGAATTTTTTTTATCTCAGGATTCTAGTTTTTGCCTGTTTAGCCTTTTTGAATATTGAATATTTATTTTGAATAAATATAAAAGTTTCTCTTTCATCTGCAGCTAATACAAACTGGCATCTTAGGGTAATAAAAACCTTTCTTTGGTTTCTCATTAACTGACTGTTTTTGATAAATCTCAATGCTCCTTGATGCAAAGGAAACGTGTCTACCTCCTGGCAGACATCAGCGTGAGGTTTGTAAAGATAATCAGGTGAAGTCAGGCATCATTCAAGCTGCGTAGGTAAGAGGTTGTGCGAGAGAGGTGGACTGGGAAAGGTGCACGTAGTATCGTAAACATTAACACTCGAGTTTTTCTTTAGTTAGTGGGTGAAGACAGGAAAGATTAACAGGGACTGAAATTATGGAATGAAGGTGTTTGAAAAGGAGAAGAGCAGTCATTATAGTTATAATACTTTTGATTATAAAAATATACTTTGGATGGGACATAAAACATTTTCCGCGTTGCTATGCAATATTAAATGTACTCATGACCACAGAGTTTCTCTTCCTTTTGAAAGTCGGTAACGCTAACTGGTTATATATTCCTTGAGTTGATAGCACGTTCCATTTGAGAAACGACTCAGTTTTCATATACTGATTGCACATTACTAGAGCAAGGCATTCTTTCTAGATGTAAATGCTGTTAAATATAACAACGGTCCCCTAAATTATCAGTGCAAGAAGAACTACCAAGTGGAAGTCAAGATTCTACTTGTAAAGATGCTGCGTTTGCCTAACAGTTACGTTTTCTTTGTTTTCAGCTAATTGAGAAATACCAGTTGAAAATAAAAGTACAGGATATGCGTGGCCAGTATTTTGGCTTGCAGACAACAGCAACCTGCATCATTACTGTCGGGGACGTGAATGACAACATGCCAACATTCACTCGCTCTGTTGTAAGTGTGCGCTGTTTATTAGAGAGAAACGCGTGACTCGGTGTGGGTTCGAAAGTGTGGGCATCTTTTTGTGCTCCATGGTTTGGCATGAAATGCTCTCAGTGACATGGAAGAAGCTGGGGCTTAGAGTTTTAAACATGAGAACATGGTGCTTTGGAATTTGTAAGAAGGAGGCTTGCTTCACAAGATGATTTTGTTTTGCGAAGGATAATTAATGAAGCTTTATTCTTTTTTCTTTTTTTAGTATGTGACCTCAGTGGAGGAAAATACAGTTGATGTGGAAATCTTACGTCTTACTGTTCAGGATAAAGATTTAGTTAACTCTCCTAATTGGAAAGCTAATTACAATATATTAAAGGGCAATGAAAATGGAAATTTTAAAATTGTGACAGATCCCAAAACCAATGAAGGCATTCTGTGTGTGGTTAAGGTAAGAATTAATTAGTAAATTAGATGTTTGTAATTTATAATACAGAATAGCAGGCAAAGATTTAATGGGAAGAAAGATATTCTGATAAGTGGAGGCATCTAGTATATAACATGGGTAATTATAAATACTGTTTTCTTCATGTGCATTAAATGGAATGAACAGGTCACTTTGAGTAACAAGGTTTTTTGATTTTTTGCTTGTACTTCCGTGTTATACATAGTCCATCACCAGAGGAAGTCAGGACAGGAACTCAAGGCAGGAACCTGGAGGCAGGAACGGGAGCAGAGACCATGAAAGGACACTGCTTACTCATTTGCTCTCTCTGCTTGATTAGTTTGTTTTCTGAGATACATCAAGAATACCTTGTCAGGGTGGCACCACCCACAATGTCCTGGGCCCTCCCACATCAATCATTAATCAAAAAAATGCCCCACAGGCTTGCCTACAGACAACCGAGGTTCTTTCTTCTCAGCTGATTCTAGCTTGTAGGAAGTTGAAAAAAAACTAACCAACAATGTCACCATTGACAAAGACATGGTTTTAAAACATGTTTATTTGTGTTTTATTCATGTGGCATAGTCTCCATTTTCTAACATAGATTTTAACAGCTTAATAAGCTAGCATAGCTTTGACACCAGTGGACAGAGCCAATCTTTTACAGACTAGTCTTTCTGTTTCTGGGTCAAGGAGTTACCACTTACTGAACTTCTTAAATGAGTCATACCTGGTCAGACCCACAGGGCGACTATCAGTGGGTCTATTTGTCTGTATCTTGTATATGGTGCAGTCTTATCATCCAGGGTCATAGCATGCAACTCAAGCAGTCAGTGACATCCCCACTTCCAAGACCTCTTTCTGATACTATTTTACACATAAGAATTAGACCTGGTACATGAAACAATCCAAGCTGCTTCGATCTTAGATGCTTATATGACATCATAGGTTCATTTGTATGACATCATTAAATAGAACATGATTCCATCCTGGGTCTAGAGCAATGGTTCTCAAGTTGTGGATCATGACCTCCTTGGTGGGTCACAGTGGTGGCATATCAGATATCCTGCATATCAGATATTTACATTACAATTCATAACAGTAGCAAAATTACAGTTATGAAGTAGCATTGAAATGATTTTATGGTTGTGGGTCACCACAACATGAGGAACTGTATTAAAGGGTCACAGCATTAGGAAGGTTGAGAACCACTGGTCTAGAGAGTTTTCCTTTTACACATTCTCAAAGACGGTGGATCAAAGATAATAAATCCATTTTCCTCACAATAATACTAATTAGCTGCAGTTTCTGGGTTAATTTCTGTTTAAAAACAACAAAGGAAAGCCCTTTAAATCCCGTCTTTTACTTGACCTGACTGCTGCCCCAACCCTAATACCACACTTTATCTCTGGATCATTTCCATCAGCTGTTCCCATCACCTCACTAACCAGGCAGAATAAAGCATGCTTTCCATTGACCTCGGTGGAAGAGATCTCAAAAAGGAGCAAATAATGTCTCTAAGCTTTCTATACTCTTGTCCCTCCACTGTTGTGGTGTTCGAGTCTACTGGGAAGACCAGAGAGTTAGACTCAATTCAGACTTGGGTTCAATGAATTTCTTCTTACTGCTATCAGAAGGATGGCAACCTTAGAGTCAAACAGCATGCCATGCCAAAGGGGCTAAAGGAAGGGTTTATGAAGGTGGATACCAAAGGTGTGCATTACAGTTATCTATGGAACCCACAGCTGGGCAAGAGAATTGTTTCACTCCTCTCGGTTGTTTCTCTTTCCATTACATAGTAATAAAAGGACCACTTCATCCCAGCCCTACAATGATAAGCAAGTTTACAGAGGCAAAAAAAAAAAAAAAAAAGGTTAATATTCACACCTGGGACACCATTGTCTTATTATTATCCCACCTTAACATGGTACCATATTGAACTTCTTCAGCCACCACAGGGGAGTTCTGTGTAAATTATGACACAGGTCTAAGCACTCTGGGAGAAGTGTCACTAATGACGAGGATTGAGCAATTTATTTCTGAGCAGGCAATAACACAGTACCATCAAGTTAGGGCTGGCTGTCACCTCCCCACACCACTCATAAACATTTTATAGGGCTGGGGCTATAGTAGCATGCTGGTCTAGCATACACAAGGTTCTGGATTCAAATCCTAGACCAACATAAAGTGGGCATGGCGGCACACATGTATAAGCCTAGCATCTGGGAGGGGGAAGAAGCTGAGAAGTTTCATCATTCTTGGCCCCATGAGTGATTTCAAGGCCAGTCTTGGATACAGAAGATAAACAACAAAACAACAACATAAACCTCTTGAAAAATTTGACCTAGTTTCTCACTCCCAAATCCAATGCAAGTCACTGTCCTTCTGAAGACTCTAAGTTATTCTACGTAACTAGTGTAAAATGACTGTTACAATCCGTACCCCAAACTGGAACTTATGCTAAGCATCTAAGTGGTTGTCTTATCCAGCTCCATGATACCTTTCACTTTAAATTTAAATTTAGAAATTTCAACTCTTTCAACTCTCAAGGGAAAGTTGTTTGTTTGTTGCCAGCTCCACCCAAATTCTGATTTATTTGAAAGGTGTCCCGCACCCCCCCCCCCCCCCCCCCACCCCCCGTCCCCAATCCACCCATGCACATGATTTGGGCCTGTGTTTAATATTCTCATGATTGTTCCCAGTCTGATACTTACCTGTTTCCAACTCAGCAAGTCCTATGTGGAGAACTTTACCAGCTCTTCAAGGGTTTGATCTGATTTCCCCCACATTTCCTGCAGTCTCTGGATTATGAAGTCCAGCAACAGGTGACTCTGCAAATCGGTGTAGTTAATGAAGCCCCGTACACTAGAGAGGCTAGTTCGAGATCCCCCACAAGCACAGCCACAGTGACTGTCACCGTGAAAAATCTGGATAAGGGCCCCGAGTGTATCCCTCCAGCACAAACCGTGCGGATTCGAGAAAACGTACCAGCTGGTACTAGAAACGATGGGTATAAGGCGTATGACCCCGAAACCAAAAGCAGCAGTGGCATAAGGTATTTGTGTATTCTTGTTCTTTTCACATTTACAACACGAGAGAAGCCCGTGACTTGTTATTAGCATTACGGTTTGGCTCATGATATTTCTTGCTGTTTTACTTCACCATGCTTCATAGGTACAGGAAGTTAAGTGACCCAAGAGGGTGGGTCAATGTTAATGAAGACTCAGGATCAATCACCATTTCCCGAACCCTGGATCGAGAGGCTGAGACCGTCAGAAATGGAATCTATAATATTACAGTCCTTGCATTAGATGCAGGTAAGAAATCTGTTTTTAAGACAGCTACTGCGTCTTCAATTGTATACTTCCTCAGTTTTAAAGTCAATGACCTACTGTTTTAATCTCATGGTGCAAAGGATCAAACCCAGGTCTTCCAGATGCTAGGCAAAGCACTCTGCTACCAAGCCCTACCCCAAGCCCAACAGCATTCCTAATCTTTAAGACCCTGTCTCACTGTGTAGCCTTGGCAAGCCTGGACCCCTCTATGGAGACTTTACTGGCTTTGAACTTATAGAGATACATCTGCCCCTCCTTCCAAGCGCTGAGATTAAAGGTGTTTGTGATCATGCCTGGCCTACCAAACAAAGTTTTAAAACTGGCTCTATATATTCTCAGTTTATTTCCCCCCAGTATAACACGCAGAGTGATTAGTTAATAAATTAAGTTTGCTATCATTTACTAAATCTTGTCAGCTAATAGTATCTTTATAAGATAATGTGGTTTAAGATGGGGCCAGTGAGATGTCTCTGCTGTTTTAAGGTCCTTGCTACTGATGACCTGAATTTGATCCCCAGGTAAAAGGAGAGAATGGACTTCGGAAAGTCGTCTTTTGACCTACAGTGACTCTTAATAATTAAACAAATGCAATAAAAATTAAAAGAAAAATTAATTTGATCTAAGAAGCATCAAAACCTGAGAAAACTATTTCAGAAAAATGTATTCATTTATCTTGCAACATTCAGGAGAGTCCATAAGAGGGAGAAGGTATTTAGTCACATAGTATACTTCTAGAAAACAGAACATTTTACAGAACGCTAACAGTACACTTAGGGGTTAGAATCTCAACCAAGCACATTATACAAAATTAAGTCAGTCACAATTAATAGTGTGTTAGCGAATGAGAGGGTCAAAGTATTCCGCTTTTGTTTCTGTTGCTAAGATGAAATGACCAGATAAAAAGCATCTTGGAGGAGAAGGGATTCATTTTAACTCACAATTCCAGGTTACAGTCCATCATTTCAGGCAGGTCAAGGCAAGAAGCAGGTAGTCATAGCCACGGTCAAGAGCAGAGAGAATGAAAGCATGTATGCTTTGTGCTCAGTAGCTCTCTCCACCCCTGTACAGTCCAGGGCTCAAAACCGAGGGTTGGTGCCACCACTTGATAGCTGGGTCTACCCACCTCCATTAAGGTAGTCAAGATAGTCCCCCACCCCCACCATAGACATGCCCACAGGTCAATGTGATTCTACATCATGACAAGCTGACAATTAGAACTAACCCCACACCATATAAGAACATAAAATATAATACTATGCTTTGTGCATCCTGGAAAAAAAATCAGAGAAACATGAGTATAGTGATTGTGTATATAAGACCCACTCAGTGTGTGAAACATAATTTTGTTATGATATCTTTGTTTGGGCATGGTATATATTGACAATCCCAGTACTTGGGTATGGAGGCAATGGAATCAATTCAAGGCCAGCCTCAATTACATAGTAAGTTTGAGGCCAGCGTGAGCCAAGGACACTGTCTCCAATTGAACTTGGTGCATTTGTAAAATAAATATACAATTAAATAAGCATAACTCATTAGGCTCCAACTTGCAAAATTAAGTTGTATTGTGATTTTAGAAGATGATTTAGGTATTACAGGTCTCTCTGAATTAACTCAAATATTCTTAGCAGTGACTCTCTTTAAATATTGTTTCTTTGTTGTTCCTTCCTCTTCCCAAATATGTATTAGATGAATTTTGCTGTTTGATTTCTACAGGGATTTGAACTGTGATTTCATTTCTGTTTAATAAATTCCCTTCTTCTTGTCCTTGAAGATCTTAAGCGTCCTTGTTTCAAAGCTCTCATGGAGAGTGACTTCATCTTCCTGCTGGTGATTTTGTTGTTTACCTTAATGTTCCTCATGTGGGGCCTATCCTGGCACTGATGGGGGCATGTACTCTGCTCTGCCTTTGGCTTCCCGCCTCCAGCTTCACTCCATCCTAACTGGCAGGCAGTTTTGTAGTGACCTGAACATCCGTCTCTGCGGTCTGCTTTCAGAACTGGTTCTTAACCTGGTGGCATGGCACGCCTAGCCTGTGAGCCTGTGATGGCTCTAGAGCTGCCGAGATCCAGCCATCGTGCCACAGGGCCTTGGCTAAGGCTCTGCTTGCCAGGCAACCTTGGTTTCCACTTCCTTAGGTTGGCAGCTGTGTGTGAGACGTGACCCCAGGCACTGGGTGGTTCAGTTTTTCGTCTTCCTCCATCTCTAGTATCCAAATCCTCCTTAGTGAGTAGAAAGAACAGAAGGTTTAGAGATAGGAATCCTAGTTTCATCTTTGGCTTTAGACTTCATAACCTCCCCGGGCCCTTGATTGCTTCATCTTTGTGTGTCCCAGACTTCCCAATGCCTTGTATAGAGTTGTCAGGAAGATTTCTCTATATATGAATGACAGGTTAATTACAGAAGTTACACCCCCAGTCCTAAGTTCCGTTTATTTAATAAATAGATGACATGCTATTTATGAGACTACACCCATAGCGATAATTTCTACATTTGGAAATGTCCCTCCACCCTTCAAACACCTCCGTGAACCATTTTCTGTTTAAATTTTCTAAATACATATCTTCTACTATTCAGCATGCCTGCTCTAAAACCTTAAGCATTCTCTTTGTGTATGCCCACCTCCAAGTTCTCTATGCTAGCTTTCAAAGGTCCTTAGCTCTTGTCTGTGTCAACTCCCATCTGCCTTCCATTTTCTCCACATCACAGGTATAGGTGACATGCTGTCCACACCCTTGATTTACCTGCACTTTAAGCATACTGTGTACCCCTACCCTACTCTCTTTTTGTCTCTTCAAATCAACTGAAATTTCTCTGTCTAGAACTTTCCATGCCTAATGTAATGACGTAGTGAATGGATGAAAATGTCCAGGTACCAGTGATTATATGTATAGTCCACTTGGAAGCAGTAAGATTTCCCTGTGTCATTGCTCATGGCTGTACTTGTTGCTGTAACTTATGCATTGTAAGTGATTAATAAATATAGAGATTAATTTCCATTGTGTGATTTTCTAGCAAAAAATAAAGGCATTAAAAATGTGTTCTTATTGCTCTATGTCTAGATGGGAAAAGCTGTACTGGAACTCTGGGAATTATTCTGGAAGATGTGAATGACAATGGCCCATTCATACCCAAGCAGACGGTGGTGATATGTAAGCCCACCATGTCCTCTGCTGAAATTGTGGCAGTTGATCCTGATGAGCCAGTGAATGGCCCGCCCTTTGATTTTAGTTTGGAGAGCTCTGATTCAGAAGTACGGCGGATGTGGAGGCTGACGAGAATCAATGGTGTGTGATTTCAAATACTGCCTTTTCCTTTTCGACATCAGG